CAACGCTGTGTCGTCAATTATTTATCAAATCGTGCAATCTAAATTGCTAATTGTAGACGACGTGAAGGCGCTCCAGATCCAATTTGAATCAAGTCATTTGCAGCTGTGAGCAGAACGCTATCAACGTTTGAAGCCGCTGTGCAGAAATCCGTCTGTGCTCTCTATCTTTCGTTTTAGGCACATTCAAGCCTATTGTGACTATAACAGGCAGTAAAGTCGACAAGCTCGGCAACTAAGGCAGACGCAGCAGTGGACTCAAAGGAAGGGTCAGTGACAACAGTAGCCAGGAGACGCGTGACAGTAGGACTGGCAGCACGAAGGGAGTCAGACTCAGGGTCAGCAAGAGCAGGAAGAGAGGACGCAGGAGGAGACGGGAGAGGGACACGCTGGGGAGCAGTGGAAGGACGAAGCGCCATCTGGTGAGTGCCTGGGACAGCAGGAGGACGCTGACGCGGGACACGATGACCAGTGTGAGCAGCACGAACAGGCGACGCTCGACGAGACTCAGGCGACGCAGGACGAGACTCAGGCTCACGACGCTCCGTAAGACCTCCAGTCGGACCAGTGTAAGGAGAAGGACCAGGGAGAGGGGAGTCAGACGGTAACTGTGACTGCGACTGGACAGACGGAGGACACTCTAAGGAGGGAGGAGGACAAGGAGGAGGAGGCTGACCAAGAACCTGCTGAAGGAGCGGAACGAAGTACGGCCGCGGCCGCGCAGCGTCTCCAGAACCAGCAGAGACACCAGCGCCAGGGTCCTCAGCACCAGCAGCAGCTCCACCTCCAGGGTCCTCAGCACCAGCAGCAGCTCCAACTCCAGGGTCCGCAGCACCAGCAGCAGCTCCGACTCCAGGGTCCGCAGCACCAACAGCAACTCCAACGCCCAGATCCGCAGCACCAGCCGCACCTCCAGAAGAAGCAGCACCTCCAGCAGCTCCAGCAGCACCAGCAGTACCACCAGCACCAGCAGCACCTCCAGTAGCGTCAGCAGCACCAGCAGCTCCAGCACCAGCAGTACCTCCAGCAGCGCCAGAAGCACCGCCAGCAGCAGAACCTCCAGCAGCTGGGTCCGCGACACTAGGAGCGCCACTCCGAAGACTGCAGCGCCGTGCGTACCACTCTCGGAGCCGCTGGGGAGAGGGCAGCTCCCGCCTAGGAGGGGAAGCACTAGCACCAGCTCCAGCAGTACTCTTGGCTCCAGAAGCACCTCTCCTGAGGCTGCAGTACTGTAAGTACCACTCACGCAGCTGCTGTGAGGAGAGAGCTCCTCCAGGTGTAGCACTCCCAGGCTCAGCACCTCCAGACTCAGCACCCCCAGACTCAGCACCCGCAGGCTCAGCACCCCCAGGCTCCGCACCCCCAGGCTCAGCACCCCCAGACTCCGCAACCCCAGGCTCCGCACCCCCAGACTCCGCAACCCCAGGCTCCGCACCCCCAGGCTCCGCACCCCCAGGCTCTGCACGCTCAGGCTCAGCACCCTCAGGCTCGACACCCCTAGCAGGACGAGAGTCGACAGCTACCTCGACAGGCTCAACCGGGTCTACCTGGGACACACCTGAGGGAGCGGCACCCTGAGGGGGGAGGGGGTCTACCACAGCAGCACCTGGCGCGAGGAAGAGAGGCAGGGGGGGAAGCGAGGCAGTGCGGTAGGGGAAGAGGCGGTAGTAGGGGACGGACTCGTCGAAAGTGACGTCCCGAGAAGGCAGGACACGGCGCGAGGTGAGGTGGTAAAACTGCCAACCAGACGCGTCCGGGACAAAGCCAAGGAAGACACAAGGAACAGCGCGGGAGGAGAGCTTGTCCGCGGACGTATCGCGAACAAAGGCTCGAGATCCCTAGACCCGAAAGCGTGACGCATCGCCAACCTCTCCTGTCCAACGCAGTGTCGGCGAAGTCTCCGGAACGGAGACACGGGGCCAGAGGTTGAGCTGATGCGCAGCGTATCGGACTGCAAACGGCCACAGAAAGTGGGGGGCAGCCGCATGGATCAAGGAGGTACGAGCGACCTCCATGACCAAGCCAATGCGGCGCTCAGCAACCCCATTCTGCTGTGGAGAGGCCGGAAGCGTGAACGACTGGCGGATGCCGTGCTCCGCACAGTAGGCTGCCAAGAGGTCGGAGGAGAACTCACCACCTCTGTCAGAGTGCAAGCGCAGGACAGGAAAGTCCGAGTGGAAACGCTCGCTGAGCTGGAGACGAGAAGCGCTGATCCAAGGGATCAAAACATCAGGGACCTCACCCTTGGTGCGCAAGGGGAACACCGTGGTGTAGCGCGAGTAGTCGTCAACAACTATCAGGAAGTACCTCTCCTGACCCTGACCACGGACGCGGGCTGGGCCCCACACGTCCATGTGGAGCGTCTGCAAGGGAGCAGTCGTCGGGGGAAACGAGGAGGAGTGAGGAGCGGCGCGCTGCCGCCCCTCGACACAGGGAAGACAGGGAGGAGCAGGCGAGGGTGGGAGGGGAGGGAGAACCCTGGGAAGACCAGAGACAAGGTACCGTTTGTGCATGGCACGAAGGCGCTGCACGGACGGGTGACCAAGTCGGTGGTGCCAGAGGACGGTCTCGTGCGCCAGAGAGCGACACGAGCAGGGGGCCGACAGCTGACCTGACGCAGACGCAGACGCAGCTACCTGAGGGGACTCAGTGGTCAGTGTGTACAGGTCCGACCCCGGCTGCCGAGTGAAGGTAGCCAGGTGACGGCCCGTCCGAGCACACGTGCAGTGTGTCACGCGCTCGTAGGCAGGGGTGAACTGGTGAACACCCCCGTCCTGGAGCGCACAACCCGCCACCAAGTTCGTAGAGAACGAGGGGAGGTGGAGACCTGACAGGGAGCCAGACGGGACCGCAGGACAAGGAAGGACAGTGGAGGAGGTCGCAATGACCGGACCCCCAGAGGGGTCAGCGAGGGAGACAGCAACTGGCCGAGCAAGCGGCTCAAGGGCAGTGCGGTCACGAAAGAAACAGCGAGAAGCACCTGAGTCCAGAGTGAAGGTGTGCAGTGCCTCAGTCGACTCAGTACCAGGGGGCGCAGACTCACGAGCACCTAGAGCAGCAGCCTCACCAGCACCTGGGGTAGCAGACACGCGAGTACCGGGAGTGGTAGCCTCACCAGCACCTAGGGCAACAGACGCACTAGCACCTAGAGCGGCAGCCTCACTCACAGGACACGGCAGCTGCACCTGTCCACTACCAGAAGCTCCCGAACGACGCACTCCAGAGCGACTGCCACTACGGCCACCCCGACAGCCCCAACTGGCGTACCACTCACGAAGCTGCTGGGGCGAGAGAGGACACGGCAGCTGCATCTGTCCACTACCAGAAGCTCCCAACCGACCCACTCCAGAGCGACTACCACTACGGCCACCCCGACAGCCCCAACTAGCGTACCACGCACGAAGCTGCTGGGGCGAAAGAGGACACGGCAGCTGCACCTGTCCACTACCAGAAGCTCCCGACCGACCCACTCCAGAGCGACTACCACTACGGCCACCCCGACAGCCCCAACTAGCGTACCACTCACGAAGCTGCTGGGGCGTGAGGGACTCACGCGCACGGCCCTGGAGCTGCATCTGGCCACGCCAGGAGCAGCAGTAGCAGCAGTAGCGGCAGTAACAGCAGTAACAGCAGGAGCGGTAGCAGTGGGAGTAGAAAAGGCAGTAGCAGCAGTAGCAGCGGTAGCAGTGCTGGCAGGGCAATGCTCACCAGTGGTCGGCGCGGCAGGCGCAAGACGGTGGGGACAGCGGGGCCGCTACAACTGCAGGGCGGGGCCGGGTCGCAGCAGGGAGCTCCGCGACAGCTGCTGCAGGGCGAGGCCGGGCCGCGACGGCAGCTGCTCCAGGTGCCAGGGGCGGCTGCTGCAGTGGCGGCTGCTCCAGGGGCCAGGGGCGGCTGCTGCAGCGGTGGTTGCTCCAGGGGCCAGGGGCGGCTGCTGCAGGGGCGGCTGCTCCAGGGGCGAGGGGCGGCTCCTGCAGTGGCGGCTGCTCCAGTGGCCAGGGGCGGCTGCTGCAGGGGCGGCTGCTCCAGAGGCCAGGCGCGGATTAGGTCAGGGCGACGCGGCGAGCAGGGCGACGCGGCGGGCAGGTGGCGACGCCGCGGGCAGGGCGACGCGGCGGGCAGGTGACGACGCCGCGGGCAGGGCGACGCGGTGAGCAGGTGACGACGCCGCGAGCAGGGCGACGCGGCGAGCAGGTGACGACGCCGCGAGCAGGGCGACGCCGCGAGCAGGTGGCGACGCCGCGGGCAGGGCGACGCGGCGAGCAGGTGACGACGCCGCGGGCAGGCGACGACGCCGCGGGCAGGCGACGACGCCGCGGGTAGGCGACGACGTCGCGGGCAGGGGCTACGTCGCGGGCAGGCGACGACGCCGCAGGCAGGCGACGACGCCGCGGGCAGGCGACGACGCCGCGGGCAGGGGCTACGTCGCGGGCAGGTGACGACGCCGCGGGCAGGCGGCGACGCCGCGGGCAGGGCGACGCGGCGGGCGGCGAGAGCCTGCAGGGGCGGCGCGCGGTCGGGCAGAGGCTGCGCGCGGGCCTGACGAGTCTGCAGGGGCGGCTCTCGGGCTTGACGGGCCTGCAGAGGCGGCTCGGGGGGGGCCTGACGGGTCTGCAGAGGCGGCTCGGGGGCCTGACGGACCTGCAGGGGCGGCTCGAGGGCGCACGAGGGCGCTCGAGGGCGCACGAGGGCGCACGAGGGCGCACGAGGGCGCACGAGGGCGCACGAAGGCGCACGAAGGCGCACTAGCAGAGAAAGGCGCACGAGGGCGCACGCAAGGTAGGGCGCACGAGGGCGCTTCTAGCGGAATAGTGGGCCCATAGTAGAAAGCGGTCCTAGGTAGCAACCTAGGCTCGTGATACCATGTTAGAATCTAGAATAGAACGAGAATGCATGAAACTAGGTAGGAGGGGGATACAAGTAGGAAACCCTAACAAAGCTGTACCCCCTAAGGCTAAACCCACTATAGCCTACACAATATAAACATATAATGTTTGACACAAATGTCGCCTCAAGCCCTGGACAGCCTCGTCAAGCTGTCCCACAGCAGCAGCGCCACCCTCTGCGGGCGCAGCCAGCACGGGCGCCAGCAGCACTGCGAGCTGGTCCGCCGCGTCCAAGCAAGTCTCACGCGGGCGGTAACGGAACGTCTCAGGTGGGATCACGGGGAGTGACGAGTGAGCAAGCACCTGTATCAGCAGCAACGCGTGAAGACTCTCCGCAAGGCGGTGGAGCTGGCCGAGTGTCGCCTCTAGAACACGTGTCTGCGGAGGCTGAAGTGCCCCCGCCAGGAACAAATGCGGCTCATCAGCAGCAGCATGATGAGAATACTGGGCCCCCGCTGCCCCTCCTCCTGCGGCCACAAATTCCACTCCCGCAACAGGCGGAACCGGCGGGAGCAGGTGCCGAGGCAGCAGGAGCAGGAGCCGTTGGGGCCGGAACCGGAGGAGGGGGTGCAGCTGCAGGCGGTGGATTCAAGTGGAGCGCGGCTGGACGAGGAGCCGCATGGGCAAGCGAGGTGTGCTTCGAACTGCTCTGGCTCTGCGTTGCCCTCTCCTCGCGCACCGCCCTCGACACTTCCCGCTAAAGATCCGCCATCGTCACGGGCGGACGGTACGCCCCACCACCTCCGCGTCCGCGGGGACCTCTCCAGCCACCATGACCGTTGGGGTGAGCAGTCCAGTGAGATTGCTGATGGTAACGCCGTGGAGAATCGCGGCGGCGTTGTGACGACTCACGCTCCTGGTGGGGCGCGGGAGAATGGGGGCGAGACTGGCGGCGGTCAGGCGACGGGGGGCGTGACGGCTGACCCGCCGGGGCCATCGACATCACAACAGGCGCGGACTGGCCCAGTGCCGTGGGCGCAGTCAGGAGAACCGGGCCACCAGTGGTGGCGGACGCCGCCTGCGGCGACGAAGCAGAGGCCGGAGCAGGCTTGACGGGGACAGAAGCGAGCGGTGCAACGGGTGCGACAGGAACAGGGACCGGGGGACCTGCAACATCCCCAGCAGGCGCAGATACTGGCGGCTCAACAAAGGGAGCTAGGGGAACATGAGCAGCAGCGGGGGCGGAGGGAGCAGCAACAAGCTCAGACTGGACGGGGGAAAGTCACGGCACTAGGAGCCTTGGGTGCGAGGGGAGGAGGCATTTCAGAGACTGCTCTCGCGGGCTTTGGAATCGGCGGCAGAGGGGGCTTCATCACCGTGGTCGCCTTTTCGGGTTCCGACTGGGGCCTGGCGACCACAGCCGACCAAGCGGCAGCGCGCTCTGGCGACGGCTCTGGCGCACCGACAATCACCATCCCGAGAGCAAGGAGACCACGGTGCTAGGAGACAGACGGCTAGCGGGACGGGCGGAGGACCGGAGAACGGGTACCAAGCAGCGGGACGTACGGCTTTAATAGCATTAGAAGCAGCTAATGAAGTCGATGAAAATGCTGACCCTACTTATAGGGAAGAGTCTCTCTCAGTGAGTGAAGATGGAGACACAGGGGAAGAAGACGGGACGGCGAGGAGGATGAGAGAGGAGGTCGGGCGCCGCCCGGAAGCAGAACAGGGACCGACAGATGTCGATCGAACGGGCGTGTATCCAACCTTCCCATCGACCACGAGAACGGGCCGCACACGACAAAATCGAGGCGCGAATGCAGATACAGCGACGCACCAGACCCTCCAAAAACCCCGCTATTTTTCAGCTGACGAACTGGCGAAGCGAGCAGACATGTTTGCTGACATCGCAAACTGGGATATTTCAGCATTAAGCGACAGTCGACAACCATCTCTGTCACGGTGTTTACCGCCAAACCTGTGCCAGCTGTTCTCGCTGGCACTATTGACCCCGTTACTCCACCTATCGCGAAACCCGGAGTCCAAAGCGGGATGGCGCCTACTGCTTTTTCTCCCGCGTCTAACACTTCGCCAAACCTTACCCCTACGCCCGAACTGGCCCCAGATCAAGGCTCAGCTCCGAGCTTTCCATTGTGGCGAATGGGAGCAGTTGTACCGAGATGCAGTCGAGGCAGTCAACACCCCTCCATCGCCACGACACCAGCCCGATGCGACTGGAGTCATCAGCCGAGCCGAGGGCCTGGCGAAACAAGGCAGTCTCCGCCGTGCCATGCTGGCGCTGGAGTCAACGCCCGTCTGCACACCTAGTCCAGAAATTCTGGACGAACTCCGCCAAAAACACCTGCCTCCTGCACATGAGATGACGACCTGGCAAGCGACACGTGGGTCAAAGTTGTCCATCACCTACACTGAATTCGCCAAAATGTTGGGAAGATGCAAAAACGGAGTGGGGGCCGGACCGTCTGGCACAACGTTCGAACACCTGCGCGACGCGACCGTAACCAACGCACTGGTCAGCACCCATCTGCACGCCTTGGTAAATACCATGCTGGGAGAAATTTTACTAGGCTCAGTGGCAGACCTGCTGACGGCGTCACGACTCATCGCTCTGGCCAAACCAGGAGGGGGCGCCCGGCCAATCGCGATAGGCGAATGTCTGACTAGGCTGGTAGCCAAGGCAGCCCTTACAGCCATGGGAGAAGCTGCCCGCGAGTATTTCCTACCCCTTCAATACAGCGTGGTGGTGCCAGGTGGAGCGGAGGCGATTATCCACGCAGCAAGGACATTTTTGGATGCCCGACCCAACAGTCTGATACTGCAAACTGACATTTCAAACGCATTCAACAATGTTTCATGACAAGCCATCGCCACTGCGTTACAGGAGCCCGACCTTTTGCCACTGCTGCCTTTAGTCAAACTGACCTACAGTAACCCGTCGCTGCTGCACCTGGACGCCAACTTCAACAGCTAACCTTAAAAAAGCGAACGCAGCGTTCGCCAGGGCGACCCACTCGGACCACTACTGTTCGCGGCAGGGATGCACCCCACACTCTGCGAAACAGCTGAGGCACATCCGGACGTGCTCTGCTTAGCATACGTGGATGATGTCACTTTCCTAGGGGAGACACCGCAAACTGTAGCAGCCTTCACATTTTTCACAGACAAGCTGGCACACCTGGGCCTGACGCACAACCCACTGAAGTGTGCGGCCTGGAGCTCATCCACGGTCGAACAGACGCAACTTCCGCCAGGAGTGCTGTATTCGAAAGACGGCGTGCGACTTCTGGGCAGCTACCTGGGGCCCGACTCTGGAGCGGCCAAATTCCTATTTGGACAGCTTGAGGAGATGGCGAAGCCATTACCCCTCCTTGAACGAGCAGATCCCCAGGTAGCCTCGCTGCTAGTCACACGCTGCATCTCCAGGCGCATGGCCTACCTCATTAGAACGACTCCCCTCCACCTACTCCCCCATGGCAGCTGGAGCCAGTGGGGACAGGACCTGCTAACAGCACTGCTAGTATCGGGCGATATCCGCATCTCAACGTGCAGAGCCGAGCAAGCACGTGTCTGGGCGCAGGCTTCCCTGCCACCGTCGCTAGGTGGCATCGGCATCACGGATCCCTTAATAGAAGGGGTGTACGGCTTCACTGCGAGTTTTACCCAGGCGGCACTTTTTCTCTCCACCCTTGAGCTAGACCCAGAAAATGCATTGACTTAGGCAAGGAACCACATGCTCTTGCCGCGGGATGATACTACGCCACTGCACGCGTGGCTTACCGAGTGCGAAGCGGCGTTGCCATGGGAGATTCTAGAAAAGGAGCGACTGACATATTCGGACGTTAGGCTCCAACACGTGCTCGGTTTAAAGGTCCATGGAAGCAGATACGTCGTGCAGGTCCAAGACACGAGGCGCATGAAGCCGAACCCCCTCTCAGGCCATACGCCGCGGATGTTCTCGCCGGGATACGGCACCGGTGACTGGCTGACCGCAATCCCCATCGCCCCAAGCAGACAGAGATGGTCAGGGGCCCTTCAGAGGACCCAATCTGTAGGACTCCTACTCAAGCTAAGCGAGGCGGCGGCGGCGGCAGAGAACCCGCCTGTAGGCGGTATTGGGCAGGAACTGAACCTAGGGGACTATTTTGCGGTGGTTGAGCCCTCCCTAAAGCTCTAGAGGGGGTAGTCGGTAGGATTTGTTGCTTTGTTTGTTAGTTACGTCTGCTTCTATAACTTGCATGCTTGTAATCTGCTGCCATATCAATACAAGGACCATTAGAGAGAGAGAGAGAGAGATTTTCATGGCGCAGCTAGAGGGGTTTGATGATGGTAGTGGCAGAGTGTGGAAGCTGAAGAAGGCGCTCTATGGGCTCAAGCAAGCCCCTAGGCAGTGGTACTTGAAGCTGCGTGAAGTCTTGGAGGAGATCGGGTTCATTCCCTCATCCGCCGATCATTCCTTGTTCATGCTTGGCGAGGGGGAGCAGAGGAGTTTCATGGTGGTTTATGTGGATGACATCCTCATTTTCTCACCCTCCTCTGACATTGTGAAGGAGGTGATGCTGAAGCTGCAAGACAAGTTCAAGTGCAAGTCCCTTGGTGACGTGAACTTCTACCTTGGGCTCCACATCGAACGAGACGTGGAGAAGCGGAGCATGCGAGTGCACCAACGGAAGTACCTGGAGGCGTTGGCTGCCAACTTCGGCCAGAGTGAAGGTCATGTGGCTACTCCCTTTCCCTCTGGGTTCAAGTGTGTGAAGGGGCCAGAGGAGGAGAGCGTTGGAGAAGAGGAGAGGCACCGATTTCACTCGTTGGTGGGCAGCCTCATGTATGCGGCGGTAAACACCCGACCGGACGTCGCGTTTGCTACCGGGCAGCTGGCTAGGGTTGTGCAATGCCCTAATGAGGAGCAGGTAGCAGCTGGAATGAGGGTGGCCAAGTATCTTGGCCAAACACCGACCGTTGGGCTGCAATACTCGGCGGCGGCACAAAGGCGCCAAAAGGGCGCGGATGGTGTTGAACCCGGGCGTTTGTTCCTCACCGCCTACTCGGATGCTTCATATGCATCAGAACCAGAGGACATGACAAGTGTGGGAGGCTTCATATGCTGTGTTGGTGGAGGCCCAACTGCTTGGGAGAGCAAGAAGCAGGTTGACCAAGCTTTGAGCTCGGTGGAGTCCGAGTACATGGCACTCTTCCGTGCCGTACGGGAGATTGTGTGGCAGCGGCGTTTGTTGGCTGAATTGGGGGAGGAGCAGCAAGGACCTACCCCACTGTACTGTGACAGCCAGGGTGCCATTGCTCTTGCTAAGAACCCTGTGTTGCATGGACTCACGAAGCACATGAGGGTGAAGTGGCATTGGACGAGGAGCATGGTAACCGCGGGTGAAGTTGAGTTGCGCTACGTGAAGACCACGGGGCAGCCGGCTGACATGATGACCAAGAGGCTGGTGGAGCAGCAGCATTGGAAGTGTTGCAAGCTGGCTGGGATGGCTCTGAACTGAGAGAGCAACATATCCTAAGGCCAACAATCCGAGGGGGAGTTTGTTGGTGCAACCCTACGGTTTGCACTCGGCTTGTTGTCCATGTGCGTGCATGTGTGTGTGTATGGAATGGTATGAGGGCATGGGATAATATATATTTCATGCTTATAATTGTGTGTGAATGTTGAGTCATGATGTCGAGTGTGTGTGTCGAGTCAATAGCGAGTTATCGCTAGACGCGTGTTACGCGGTCGTTTGTGTCTCGCGCGCGGTTTCTATTTTGTCGTGCGCGGTTTCTATTTTGTCCTGTGTCGAACGTTCGGCGTGTCGCAGATGTGTGCAGCAGACCCATCAATAACTCAAGGATGAGTTTGTGATGAAGAGCCCGAGCCTTGGTGTCAAGCCTCAAGTGATTTCGAAGCTCGCCAAAAGGGTACACCTCAAGATATTGAAGATAGTTACATTACTTTGTGTAGTGTAACATTTCACTTGGTGTAGGCCCTAGTGAAGGGTAGTTTCGAGACCCTTCATGGTTGGGGACAGTGTGGCACTGTTCCACATCACTGTACCTCGGCTCTTGGGGTTTGTAGGAGCTGGGAGTCATTCCCAACTCGT